ACACACACACACACACACACACACACACACACACACACACACACACCAGGCCTGGGATTAGTAAGGACCTAAGAGAGCTAGTTTACTGACCCAGAGGAAGTGTTTGCAGCATTTTGAGGACTTGAAGTTATCCAAAAATGGAAATTAACACAGCAACTGAAGATTTTACAGTGAAATGCTCAATAAGCTACACTTTGCCGGTGATTCCCACCCCATCATCCATTTTTGTATGTGCTCACTCGCCTTACCCTCCTCTGACAAACAGCCTGACATCATAAAAGTGAACACGCAGCCAACATAAATACACATTGCCAGATCACTGAGAAACCGCGAGTCTTCCATTGTTGACACGGCGTACTGCTCCTGCTGTTCCTTTTCTTGTTCCCCCCCCCTCTCTTCTTTCATCTTATCTTCTCTTTTTCTCTCACTTGTGTGACAGCCTCCTCATCCTGTCTGAAGCACTCAGGAGTTTTCCTCCTGAGTTCTGCGGAAACTTAGACGTTTGAAGGAATCCCTGTGAGAAGACAACGGACGAGGGAGGGGAAACAGAAACAAAAGATAATAAATGATTATGAGTAAGAAGAGGTGGAACAGTCATGGTGAGTAGGCGAAGGTGCGTAGATGTAAGGTAATCATTTACTTCCCACAACCTAAAAACACCCTGAATCTTAACCATAAATTTCTACCAGATAATAGCGAGAGCAGCAGATATTTTTTCCACAACACCAACTAGCTAGTGTTCTTTTACCGAGGCTCGGGTGTTAGACACTGACACATATAAGATAATTACATGAAAGATATAACAGTTATCACAGTTATCACAACTTGTAATATTTTTTTCCCTCTCTTTTTAAAAACTATGGAGATAAATCGATGCATCTGTGGTTACGTGTATAGCAGTAAACAAAACCAGCAACAACACGGTTATATTTATATATTCTAGTTTAATAGCTTCCTAATATTAAGTAACCCTACTGAAATCATATCCATGTTGTATCTAAAAATAAATAGAAATTGCCAGTTATAATTAAAGGCAAAACCAAAATGCATTAATGCATTCTTTCAAACGGGGGTGACTCTTCTGGTTGCGAAAAAAAAAACAACCCGATCGTGACCCATGCTGCTCGCTTCATATTTGACCCGTGGAACCCCTTTTGGGTGGAGTGCATCATCTCAGTTATTAGTGTTGTAGTAAAACAGGTGATAAACAGTTTGACTGTGATTAATAATGCTACAGTCATACTGGGAAACAGTGGTTGGAGACCCCAACAGTTTCAATTTAATTGCAACGAACGCAGTTTTGTTCACTGCAGTCACCGTGCAACCATTGATTTTTCCTAGTTACAAAGAAGGCCTTACAGTATTTTCACTGTAATGTGACTAAGCCACAAGACTCTATTGTTTGAGCATGAAGTGTCCTTGGTTTGTCAGTCAAAGGCATCCTCACTCATGATGTCTGATTTAGAAAAAACGTAATCAATTCATTCTCTCTTCCCCTTTGGTTCAGTGATGACACAGCCTGATAAAATGATCAATGTGTGTTTCTCACCTCCGTTTCCCTTGTCAAAGCCGTCTGGTGCGGTGGCTCTGTTTACCTGTTCTCCAGCCGAGGCCTGATGATGGGTTTATAGAGTTCGGGAATCTTCCTCTCGAGCATTGGCCTTAGGTTCTCTCTTAGGCGGTTGTAGTTCTTCTTCAGCTCCTGCTGGTACTCCTTCTGATCTGATGCAATCAGGTGCTTATTCTTCTCCACTGCTTCACCGCACCTGCAGGACAGAAAGTGGCATGCAAGTTCATTGGCTGTAATGAAAAAAAGAATCGAGTTTTCCCCTCAAGCTTTTTGTTTTTTTAAATTATTATCATCATTATACAGTAACCTCAAGAAGAGCTTCAAAAATATGAAACGAAACAATCTTTTTACAAGTCACTGTGCTTGTGTATGCCAAGCACCGTCCTGTAACTGCTTGACCAGAATTTGAATCCTTTGCAAACCAGAACTCTAAATAAGCTCAAATTTATACTCTACTGCAGGGACCACCTATTTGGCTTTGTCAAGTAACGCTGCTAGAATGTGAGCTACGATGCAAACGATCCAGAGTCTGATTTAAATCACAGTAGCAGCAGAAGCAAGAACTCTAAACCCCTCTTTTCTCATGTGCTGGGAAGGGGACAATGTTCTGTTATAATGGGGGGGGGGGAACAATGGGTCTAAGTTGAAGTGCAAGTAGAGGGCAAGTCTGGGTTGCACCCACAGTACTCTATCACGATATGTATAATGGCCAACATACAGGGCAGTCTGCAGGAAATCAAGGGAAGGGGATGATTGCAAACACATGTTTATCTTTTAGCCTTTAATGAAGTTAATATGGAAGCTGCAATGTCGTGTAACAGTATACAGTAAATAAGCAGGGTAATGAGCATTAATGACAGTTCACAAGAGTGCAGGATTTTCTGGTGGTGTATAGCTCTTTATCTGAATGCTTGGCTTATTTAGACAGCTCTTCAGATGAGCATTTGGCATCTTCATTTTGTTTTATGATTTGCAAAGTGAGCGCCGTTTGTGAAAAAAAAGAAAAAAAGAAAAAAAGAAAATATGCTTGGCTGTTTAGGTTTCTGAATTGAAAACAAAAAAACAAAACAAAACAAGAAAAACCTATGGGCTTCTTTAACCATTACTGCGTGTACAGGATCTAAATCTATAAATGCAGGATGGGACTAGACAGCAACAACACCAGAGCATGTGGCAGAGTGGGACATCAGCAAATCCAGGAAACAACAAATCCCCCGAAACCTCTCTTTAAATTTTTAGCTCCACAGAACTCATTTAAAAATACTTTGAAGTTCATGTAGCTACATAATACAACACTAAATATTACAAGATGACCAGCTTAGAAAATAATGCTTTCCTAAGTGGATTTATTAGAATGCGACTGCTGAGAAGATTGGCGTTCCGTGAGTCCTGTTTACCTGGATTTAGGAAAGAAAATAAACCTTCCGGAAATTACAGCAAATCTGTTTGTAACATTTAAGGCAGGTGGAAAGTAATATGAAGGTTAGAAAATGAAAGACACCACTTTTTGGAAGCAAACAACAAATAACCATGAGATGAAAGCAAACAAACTCAAGCACACGCACCAATACTTTGCAACGTGCAGATATGACACAATCTCGGCACAAAATTATCATGACTCACTGCAGCGTGTAGGGCATGATGGTTCAAATTATGTCGTGATCATTGAAAATATTTTAAAACTATTGGTGATAATGAATCTAGAGTTAGCTAGAAGAATAACAGCTTAGTGGAAATAGTCTCAATGTGTAAATAATATATAATTGTTCACATTACTCCTACTTCTTTGCTTCATTTAAACTGTGATCTGGTTGGAAATGTAGTTGTGATTATCACTTCAGTCTCTTCATCTTGACTGACAGGCTGTTTAAACAGCAGGATATCAGTCTCCATCACTCTCACTTCTTTGTGGCGCACTTTTATCTTCCTACGCAGGCAACAATAGAGGCATATAGATCCTGGAGAAGACTTTCACTCTTTCCAAGTCACATCTCACAAATACATTCCATTTCCTACTAAGAAAATCTCTTTGACATGTTGTTGTATACTTCAATCTCTTGAGTCAGTGCCCATTGTTCACCACCATTTATTCACCCTTTGTCAGTAGGTGGTGATTCTTTGATAGCGTCTTACCTCATTATAAATTCTTTGAAACACAGGCGCAGTTTGTTGTGGTGACGGAAGAGCTTTGGGTCCGCTGGGATCTCATTCAAGAAGACCTGGGCCACCTCCAACGGGCCCTACAAACAGGGGGCGGAGATACAAGGCAATCAGCAAAAACAAAGAAGCAGAGAGATGAAGAAAGAGAAAGCAAAGAGGGGCTGGAGGAAGGAAAGAGAGGAAGCGTTTTGACAGCAAGTGAACAAAGGAGGAATAAGAAAGCCCCTCATTCATACTGGGGGAAATGACCAACTACCTGAATGGCTAAACGCAGCTAAGAGCTACGATTCTGAACTGAAAACACGAGGAAGCCATCAGGAAAGGAGCTGCTGTGATTACCTCCTGTATAGCTAATGTCACTGCTAACCCTGCATACATTCTCCATTTGGCTCCCATTTGCCCAGTATGAGATCTTGTTATCCTAACTTATATTCATCATAAAACCGCAGCGCGCTCGCACAGTATCTGCAGTTAAACAGCTCTGATTAGAATCATAAATGCAGTGGGCCCGGGCCTCAGCCCTGGGTCTGAGCTGCCGACCCGCACACAGAAACCCGGCCTCTTGCACTGATTACAGTCAAGAGTTATATGTTTACTGAGCTGCAGAGCATTAGCGTTATGTATACAACCATCAGGTTGGAGCAAGGGACCTGTCAGATTAGACACTGGAAGATAAAGAGTAAGGCGAGCAGAGACGCTAGAGCTTGCTTCGTCATTACACCGACATTCACCATGCTGGCAGGACCTGGAAGCTATCAGATCAAAGAGACCTCCGGTGCAGCACGCCATGCAGCGGATACATGAAAGGAAGAGGGGCCCTGAATTGACGTTTTAACTAAATCAGGAGAAAAGCAAAGGAAGGATTAGGGTTGCGGATGGGGTGAGGGCTTTGATGTGTGATCACTGCCATGTCTCCCACCTGCACTCCTTGACTACAATGGAAACTGTAAATGTGGTAGAATAAATAGGAGGTAAATCACTCTGTTATTTTCCCCATCACATCATGTATGATAGAAAGTGTCATTTAAGAAGAACAGCTGTCATTTGGTTAAGCGCAATCATTTCTGCTATAACAGGAGAAGACACACAGTAGTGCAAAATGGCATCGCTGCCTTTATTTACCGAACGGCCCCAAATTCTCATTACCTGGTTAACAGTGGCTCCCACAGAGCCCTGTAGCAGCATCTGTAACATCTTAGCATCGGGTTGTTCTCTGTGTGTGGCAACCGCGAGCTCTCTGGTCTTCTTCTGCATGTCCTCTATGGCCACCTCGATAGGCGTCAAGTCAAACTGGAAATACAAGACGAGTAAATATAGCCAACGGGTATTGCTGCAGCTGTGATAGCTGCTGTTATAGCTGCTAGGTGTTCCACACCAGGTGTATTCAGCACTTACCTCCTCTTTCTGAATGACATTGATGCGGGTCTTGACATAGGGGAAAGCATGCATGGTGGTGAGGATGGTCTTTCTCTTGTACTGTTCATTGAGTTCACCCCGAGGTCGCCCACTCTTGGTGAAGGGTGTGGTGTACATGAAGCGCCGCAGGTTAAAGTTCTTCTCAAAGTTTGTCAGTCGGTCTTTCATCTCATAGTCGTCAAAGAAGGGTTCCACATAAGTGATCTGGATATACGCCTAGAGAGGAATGGTAGTGTTTTCTTAAGTTATTATTCATGAAAATAGCATCTTATCGTGATTAAGGAACGTGTGCCTTTAGCTGCGTTTTATTGTCTGTTTTTATATCTAATAAAGCAAACTCTGGTATGTGTCCAAAGAATCCATAATTTCTCGCTGATAGTCTACGTGCAGTGCATTCTGGTTGCATTGTGCTGCTGTTTAAAACACAGGGAATTGAGTTCCCACTTGTCATTTGCATAAATTTGGGCCAGTTTATGCAAATCAGATCTGTCCAGCTTGAGTCGATGCCTCTGAAAACTCCAGATGAATCTTTAATCTACACATTGTTGATCTCAAATGAAGACAATTCAACAACTGACTGGCTTTTCTAGGACCTCGAACGTTTTCAGTGTTTGTAATTCCTTGAACTATTTTAATAACATAAGAGAAAGGTTGCAAATGAGCAGTCATGCTAGTTTCCGGGCTGCTTGGCTGCAGGAGAGGAACCTGTCATTCATGTATCACGACGCTTTCGGTCTTGCCTAGCAATTTTAGAAAGTGGAGCAAACCCTCGAGTGCAGAAACGCTGCTATAGATATACCACTGCAGTTTTAGAGTTTTGGAGAAACAATATTGTAGAAATACACAGTGCAGTGTCCTTACAGGTGTCACAACTACAAGCCTGGCAAAAAATGCCCTCAGGGGAGATTTTTGCTACTAAAATTAGTATTTGATCATTGAGAGATTAACATTTACCAGTTGATTGTTTGGCATAACAGTTACTCACCTTATTGGGGTTGAGCTGTTTTCTGTCCACTGGCGTAGAGTCCTTAATCATCACCAGTGTGTCATCTCCAAAGCACTGACTGTAGAAGTTCTAGGAGTGCAAGAAATTGTGTCGTTAATATACAGTACAGTTCATAATATATGGTCTTTAAAAAGTGCAGAATCATTTTTACTCAAATACAAATTGCGATTGGAGGCTACTCCTTAAAGAATAAAAAGCATTAAAAGAACACTCGAAAGCATGAAATACACTAAACGTGAACTGATTCACTAATTTGACTCAAGTGCAGCTGACAATGCATCCACTACTTTCTTTTTTTTCCTCTTTTCACCTTTTAGCATGCAAATGATAGCTTTCAGGCGCTCTAAATGTCATCAAAACTGAAGTACAATTTGTGAATCTTTCACTCTGTCGTTCTGCTCACTTAAAGCCTCAGGCGTCAGATCTCACCAGTCCAGCCAGGCACCATATCCTTTATTTCATACCTACACATGCACACATTTTCCTCTTACATACCTCCAGCCTGTGTGATATCTCGGGCAGATGTGTGATCCCAGGCTCCTTGTAGATGAATTCCCGTTCATCCAGATCACCAAACTTGGCCCCATAAAAGCCCACTCGGAAATAAGTTCCAAACATCCTCTTATGTCCCTGGAGGGAAGAAAACACACTCAAATAAATAGTAATCAGATATTTCTGTTGTGTCAATTATCCTTTGTGGATTTTTTAAATTATAAAGAAGACTTTGAAGGTTTTATTAAAAGCCAAAAATAAATTTGCAGCAGTTTTTTGTTTTCAAGGATGTTTAAAACACATATTTAAATACTGAATAAGAACATGTACCAAAATGATTTTTAAAATGTTTTATCTACAGCATCTTACGATCTTTCTTATTTTCACTTTAACTAAATAAATGACACAGCACCTCCTCTGTCATTACCTTCTGAATGATGTTATCAAAGGCTCTCTGAAGTTTGTCATGTGTTGACGCCAGTTTTCTGAAATCTCTATGTGCCTCTAGGATTGGTATGATGATCTTGTAGACCTCATTTACTGCCTCATAGAGACCACCCTGATGGGAAAGACAGCCATAGCTGCTGTTTAGCACAGAGTATAGTATATTTTAAGAAAATATAAACATTTATTGTTAAAGTGCAAAGATTTTCTCTGTTTCAGTTATACAGCATCCTTAAAGGCTGGCTTTTTTTTTTTAGCATTAACAAAGTAGATATTTACCGCTTAAAAAAACAAAACAAAACACATTAATAATACTAATTTTATAAAGTAATTACTCCAACCTTGATAAAAAAAATCATTACAGGTTTTTTATGTTAGCACTAAACATAAATATCACAAATACTAGTGCAGTTTTATGGTCTCACATTGCTGAAGAGCTCAGCAGCCTGCTCCAGCAATCCCACCAGGCCGCTCTCCGTGAAGTAGCGACCTGAGCACACCCCATCCTCATCCGGGGACAGGATGTCGTCCGACACCGCAGACTCCTCCAGCACATTGGGGGAGATATTCTGAGGAGAAGATCCGTCAGCTAATCACTCATTTAGCCCCGCTAATCACATGATCAATAACACGGCTTAAAATAAGATGTCCTGCGGTGAGAAATGGAACTCGTTTAATGACCATCCAATCAGTGGCTTGCTGCAGGTTAGACTGTCCTGAGCACAGAGGTCTTGTGTATAACACAGCTCATCGATAACATAATCAACTTTCTGACTGTTATAACTGTTTGTTTTCAGATGAGGGAAACAGGCTGTTCCCATCTTCCCACGGGAGCACATTTGCTTTTTATTCTCCTCTTCATCTTCAAAGACACGGCGTTAAGCAGATATACCAGGGGATCATATTTACATGTTGACGTTATGAGTGTACAGCTCCCCCCTCTGGACACACACAACCAAATATGGAAGCAATCCACGGGGAGATGTGAGATTTTCTTGCTGTGCACTTGAAGGTTTGCCTTCATTCAACAGAACAACCAACAGCCATAATAAACAAATGAAGACTGCTTATTTTATGTTCCTGTGTTTCAGTCCTAAAAATGTATTATCTCCTTGTTATTTCTGTATGTATATGTTTGTGTGGTCTACCTGAAAGGTGACACTGCCAACAGGCAGGTACTTGTGATCCTCCAGCATGCTGAGGTACTCAGCCACCAGGGCGGCAGCGTGCACCAGACACATTGCAGACTCCGTGTAACACTTCCTGTTGTTGTGCTTCTCTGCCATGTTCTGCAGCCAGGTCAGGCGGAGGTCAGGAGACGTCTGGTAGCCTTTCGCTATCCTGGAGAGATATGGGAGTGGGAGAAGGGATCATTTTCCCCCCTAATTCATCTGGTAAAAGCCTATCTGAGATCAAAGTCTCGTATCAGAAAACCGTCACATGCTGGACAAACAAGTGCAAAAGTGGTAGTTAATGATATGGGCTCACTGCAGATAAGGTTCTGCATAAACTGTGTATTTTAATGACTGCATTTATGTCAAAATATTTTGAAATCAAATAGAGAAAAAGAAAAGTTGGAAATGAATGCACTGTATGAAAATAATGACTTTTGTGTAATACACTACATAAAAGGAGATCAAATAATAGTCTTAAGCAATATCAGTTTAACTGTGGCACAGATATAAATAAATGCCAATGTGTGAAAGACAAATATCTCAAAATAAAATGTGAGCATGAGAGTGAGCACAGCAACATTAGTGGGTTATTGTGTTTTATGGGGAACATGAACGCTGAACACAATTTCCTGTTTTTGAGAAGAACGGAAAATTATCGACTAAACAGAAGAAGACTAAATCTAAAACACTGTTTATTTATTTATTTATTTATTTATGTTTGCAAATCACCCTACAAAATTTACAAATTAATTCAAGCATCTGGTGACCACATGTTTTGCTCATCAATGACCTATGTGTGCTAGAAAGCTTGGAGGTATATGTGTAAAGCTAGCAGGTCAGTCTGTAAAGCTACGAGAGACTTGCCATGTGACCGAGACCAAAAAGTAAATAGAAAGGTGCATGATAAATGACCATAGGTGACAGCAAAGCACGCTGAAGTGCCAAAATAACCAAAAGTACATACATGACCTCTGTCTCAGTGTTTCCCCTTCGTGTTCTCTCACACGCATGCACGCTCGGACACACATACTGTTTGCATTTGCATATACACAAAGCCAGATCAGAAGACTAAACTGCTACCACATGGTTACCATAGCGAGGGCAGCAAATAGAGGCAAAACATCCAGGCCACAGAGAAATAGGAAACAGTGGTGAAACACAGAGAGAAGCCACAGAGTGATGAGAAAATGATGATAGAGTAGGATGCAAAGAGGAAGACACTGAAGACAGACAGAAACCAAGTGAATGCCTTTTACACCAGATGCTTTTGGTTTCTTACCTGTACATGAGGTCCATGAGCATTTCAGGATCTTCCTGAAACTCCCTCATCTTCACTGTGTCGGATAAAATACTGTTCAGGTTTCTTAGAAGCTCATCCACCTGTAAAAAGAAAAAAACCCCCAGACATACATCGAAAAGCAGGCTTAAGGTTATGAATCAAAATCAGTAATGCAACTGCTCAACTGTGTGACTGTGCGTATAACTTTATACCTGGGAGGGAAGCTGAGTATTCTGCATCTCAGTGTCCTCCTCTGCATAGGCCAGGATGGTGCGCAGAGAGCGTCTTAAGTACTCCTCCTGGAAGTCTGAAGACTTGCCCACCAGCGAGGCCAGAGACATGGTGACCTGCATCTTGACTCTCGAGAAATTCTGACAGAAGAGACCGCAGTGAATATGTGTTTAACGCTTTGCACTGTTTGTAAGTGTATATTGGATTTCCACAGACCAGAATATTAAACCTTTTTTCTCCATAGTTATTCTATAGCATGCAGGGGAAGTACTGGTGACAAAACAGAACAGAACATAACAGGAACTGCAAGATTACATTTTGCCTTCAAGTTGCATGGAAAAAATAAACCGCTAACATTTTTTACAACAGTTAAGAAGGAAACGCCATTTCTGGCTGCTCCCTTACTCACAAGAGGTCACCGCAGGAGGTAGGTGGATTTTTTTATTTTTTTTGTAAACACCGGATGCCCTTCCTGAAGCAACCCCTAAGGGATATGCGTCTCCTCCTGGGACTAAATGGGGATTTTTTGCTTGTGTAAACCACTACACTGTAATACCTAATAATATGCAGTTTGTCTTTGGAAACATTTTCTTGTTATCACCATTTAATAGCACAATGAGTGAGCTACAGCACATATTTTGCTATGCGCTTGGAAAGAATTAATAGTCCCCATTAGCAAGCATGAGCAAATACTGATTGCACAAAAGTCTCCCTGTTTCCCCCCCCTCCCGCTCCCCTCCCCTCCCTATCCTATCCTCGTCTCTCCATCCTTCACACTACCTGTCCAAGAAAACAGGTGTGACAAACACCCTTCCATCTTCTGCAGAGAGGACCGTGTGTATGTGTGAGAGAGAATGTGGTCGTGTATGTGTGAAGTCCCATCTATCTCCAGCATGACCAGCTAAGCGGGAAATGATCTCCCATTAGCAGAGACATAATCACCCATGGATCATCTCTACGGCCCCATTCTGTTCAACTGAGCATGGAGCCAGAGCCTAACCACCCATCACTGCCCTCTAACTCAGTGTGTGCATGTGTGTGCGTATGAGAGAAAAGTACGGAGAAGTAGCCTAAATGATAGCTTAAGTCAACAAATAACCCTCTTTGTCCTTCTTTGTAATTGTATTTCTCATCTGCCCCCTTTTCCTCTTGTTCTCATTTTAACCTCTCCATAAATGGGCCGGTTTTAGCAACATTTATCTGTTTTGTGAGGGGGGAAAAGGCTGCAGTTGTCTTTTTTTTTTTCTTTGTCTTTTTAAAGCAGTCTAAAATTAACTAAAATAACAAGGGAGGGGAAAAGTGTCACGACAGACTGAGAACATGACGAGGGGAGATCACGGGATAAAAACATAAACAATGAAAGAGGTAGGGAGTAAGTTCTGCATCAATGAGTCATTCGGCTGCTACGCTAATTCAGATCACAGCTCCCTCTGTATACAGCACATAAACAAACATACGCTGGGACATGCAAAGGAGAAATACTTTATTTAAACTGGAGATGCTGTGCGTGTGTGCATGGGCGTGCATGTGCTGTGCGGGCTGGAGTCTGACTTTCATTAAAGTGTACAGACTGTAAACACAGGAAATATCGACTGCAACAGCAGTTATCGAACCAGCGTGGAGAATGAAAGAAGATACTCTAGCCTCTGCCTCCCTTCCTTCATATCTGTCTTTTCTCAATCATGTCCTTTTCATTCCCTCCTATCATTGCTTCACCTCCGTTACCAACACTTCCCCGACTCTGTCATGACTTTCCTCCTTTCCTGTCTTTCGGCACAAATACTTACACATTCACATGCACATATGCAGTGAATCACGCACAGTTAATACACACACAGAGTTGCTGTCATTAGTTATAGAGAGGTTGGAACATGGGGAGGCAGACAGTGACATATCTCTCTGCTTTCCACTTAGAGACACATCCTTCAGCAGAAACTTTCTTGCTGCACGCTTAAAATAGACACGGAAAAGACATTAAAGCTGAGCAGAAGGGGAAGAGAGCAGAAGATAGGATAAGATCTGTGTGACTCCCTGCTTCTGTGTGTCTTCATGTGAACATGTATAAAAAGCAATTCTGAACTTGTGTGAGCACTTCAGCTCAAAGTGATATAAAAGCATTTTTTTCTGAAAGCTTAAAAAGGGTCGTGCGTGGCTAGTTCTTGATTTGTGGACGTTCCTATGCATCCTTACTGCTCACTAGAACACATAAATAGGATATTGTGTGATTACATGTTGCTGTGATGTGTGCGCTTACACTGGCATTACTGTAGCTGTATCTCATGATGAGATAGAGGGTGGCACAGGCCTGGCTTCTGTTCTCATCCACAGGGCTGCTGCAGTACTGAAGCACCTTCTGGCACAGGTCTGCACACTGCTCCGCCTCCTCTTCAAACAACAGATCTCCAAACTACACGCACACATACGCACACACACACACACACACACACACACACACAATGATATACACAGCCACACACACACACAGATATATACATAAATAATTCTGGCTTGTATCAGCAGTTGGCCACCCACACAAACAAATAAGAACATTTAATTTAGACACAGATAGTGTTCATCTAAACAGACCAACCCACACACACCACCTCCTGAATTTTCAAAAAGTGAAACTAAACACACATGCACACACACACACACACACACACACACACACACACACACACACACACACACACACACACTTGTCATCATGAAACTACCTTGACGACAAGTGCTCTGAGCGTGCTGAAGGTGTGAGAGAGGAAAGTGGTACTCTGGCTGCAGGTGAGAGAGTGGAGTAACACCTTCAGCACCCCGCCAACTACGTTGTCCTTACAATCAGCCAATGGCACCGCCTGAATGTGAGACAGAGAGAAAAATAGATGATACGCTAGGGAAACACTGGGGAAAAAATAAATAAATAAATAAATCACATGAATACAAAAGTCCCAGTTTAACTTCTTAGCTAGAGAGTACACAACAAGCAGATGAGTAAAAAGTTTATGATAGACCATTAAAGCTGCATAGAGTGGATACCCTCGTGTACCCTTGTCTACTAACTAACCTTCTACTAGAGGAGAATGGTGAGACTGCTTTGTCATATGAAGGCAAAAGTAACTCAAATAACCACTTGTTACAACCAAGCTATGCAGAAGAGCATCTCCAAATGAACAACATTGAACTCTGAAGCAGATGGGCACCCAGTGCCACTCCTGTCAACTGAGAACAGGAAACTGAGGCGACAGCAACAAGAATTGGAAAAAATTGGAAAATGTTGACTGGTTTGATGAGTCTTGTTTTACTCTACAGCAATTTTTCGTAAGGGCCCAAGTTTGGCATGAAAGCACGGAAAGCAAGCATCCGCCCTGCTGCTGGTGGTGTAATGGTGTGGGGATATTTTCTTGGCACACTTTATGCCCTTCAGTACCATCTGAGCATTGTTTACGTGCCACAGTCAACCTGAGTTGTTGCTGCTCATCATGTCCATCCCTTTATGACCATTTTCCGATGGCTGCTTCCAGCAGGATAATGTGCCGTGTCACAAATTTAAGATAATCTCTAGCTGGTTTCTCGAACAAGAGAGCAAGTTCACTGAAATGGCCTCTGCAGTCACCAGAACTCAAGCCAACAGAACACCTTTGGGATGTTGCAGAACGCAGCTGAGAAATCTGAGTAATGCCATCACGTCAAAATATCTGTGGAATGTATCCAACATGTCGTTGAATCTATACCACGAGGAGTTCAGGCAGTTCTAATACTAGCAAGGTGTAACTAGTGAAGTGGCTGGCAATAATATATAATGACAACGTAGCATAGTAAGTCTAAAATGATTGCAAATGTATTTATTAAATGCACATTAACGTTACTCAGGGTATTTAAGACAGTTCTGACCTGGACAATTGTCTCCAGCAGGTCGAGCACTATGAGGTTTGACTCAGTGGCCAAGTTCCCACTGATCAGAGCTTCCTGGTCCAACTCAGCTTTAGTCCTGATGGAAAATGAGGAAAGAGAGGCAAATATTAAAAATATAAAAGAAAGAAGGAAAAGAAAAAGGAGAGAAAGGGAAAGGCATAGAAGAAGACATCCAGGTGCATCAAGAGGTAATAATTAAAGGGAAAAAACTGAGAAGGAGACACAAAGATTACAACATACTTATCCTGTCTGTCATTGGTCTGTCGCCACTGAGTGAGATCCTTTCTCCAGCGGAGGACCTCTCTCTGACCCATGGTCCTATCTGTTCCTGTGTGGTATATAAAAACAGAGCATGAGAAGAAGAAAAAAAAGTACACTTATTGTGCAGACTATAAACTAAAACTGCATCCATGTGGTAGAAGTATGAACAGCCTGTCATGTGAAAAGATTTACTGCAGTGTAAGAAGAAAATTATATGATTAGTGCCTGAAAGTGTGGATTACAAAATAAACAAAAGGCTTTTTATATATTCAGCAATCCTCGACCGCACAACTATAAAAATTATCATAAGATTTCCAAAGTCTGAGTGTTGACTATTTTAAGAGGAAGTTTGTGTGTAAATCTTTGAAACATTCTACATTTAAATGTCAGAAAACCAATTCCAGGCTTTATTCCTTAAAGTGCCAAGAAACACATCACCTCCAACTCGTTTCATCATTTCCCCACGGGCTCCCATTCCTCTCAGCAGGGCCTCCTCCAGCTGATGTTTGGCCTGCTGAGATTTCTGTAAGGCCTGGGTGCTCACTTTGTCACTGCTCTGCTTTCCCTACAAAACACAAAATAAGCACGTAGTAACCAGGAAGAAAATACACAAGGATACATTGGTAACATGCACTTAGGAGTGTGAGAAAAAACACGTGCAGGGAAGGTATGCAAATACACAAACATCCAAAGTAGTGCATCAAATTAAATTATTAGAAAATAAGCAAAGACAGACCCTATACTCAAAGCAGGAGATACAGATGGTGAGGAGCTCCAGCAGCTTGTTGAGCTGTGAGGGAGGCATATCTATAGTCCAGCGCTGAATCAGGTTCCCATCGGCATTCTTCATCACCCACAGGAAGCACACCAAAAGGTGGCGACTGGTGTCTGCAGCCAGGGTGGCTATGGATTTACCTTGCTGGGAAGAAGAGAGGACAGAGACAGATATGTGTTGGATCCAATGGAGTGCAGCTCTCACTGAATGGAAATGTGTGCATCTGCTGCAGATTACACATTTAGAAACTGTGTCCTAGAAATAAATTAAACTGTCACACGCAAAACAAAATCTAAGAAGCTGTTCTAAAACTACACTCTGCTTGCAATAACGTCATAGATCCAATTCATATTAAATTCATGTGACACAACTGCCAGTGCTCAACCTATTGAGTTATACAGTGTACTCTAACAAGTGCATACAATAAACTAACAGTACATCACTGACAAGCTTCTCTAAACCACAAATATGGTTTCTCACTAGCTTCAATGAAATATGGTTCTCTCCTCCATCTTAACAGGTGTTAAATCTATTGCAGATTCATTTACCTTCACTCGTGAGATGATGAATCGCTAGTATAGACGGCTACCGCTGCTTCATTTTGCAGCAGCTTTGATAAATGTAGCCATTAACCTCCTAGTGCTCTAGGTGTCCCACCTAGAACCTTGTTTCCAGGTCTCTGTCTTTTGGGGTGTTTTTTTGGGTTTTTTAAGAGCAGGACTGCCCGCAGCTTACCAGAACCTACATCAAATATTACAGTTTAATCTAAAAGCATCTCTTGTTTATCATAGGAAAATATTGTTCTCTCTATGAGTAAGATTCACTGGAAACATTGTTAGAAGGTGGACTGCCCAAAAATGAGGACCAAGTGCTCTGGGGGAGGTGTTTAGTTTTGTGGTGGATACCAGAACAATGGCTCACTCTTGTCAAAATCATATTTTCCACAACAGCACTTCTTGCAGCAACATACAAGGAACTGATTCATCTTTTGGAAAGAAACAGAAGGAAGATAAAAAGAATGGCAGCGTTCGGTTTTGGCGCCTGTGTTGTTGCTGTAGCTGTACTTGATGGATGTGTTTGTCAGGGAGGATGGCCCTGTTCACTTATGATGGCAATGCCTGCCCATAAACCATCTCCCGGAGACGTGTGTGTATGCGTGTGCGTGATTTTTCAGGATGAATGAAGTATGTGTGTGGCTCTGACAGCTAATCAATCTGCTTCTGTGCAGCTCACCTGTTAGGAATGGGAATATTCACAGATACAGTCGCTCACATGCGCACACACAAGCACGTCTGAACTTTTAAAAACAACAGGCAGCAGGCTATAATCTGTTACCGTCCTTTTATTAGGAAATTAAATACACATGGCCATTACCATAGATGCCATGGAAAGAAGAGCGTTCCGTCCCAGTGTGTTGAAGGGGTTCCCAGCAATTGCCATGGCAACAGACTGATTGATAGGTGGGACATTTTCAAGGTCATCATCAGGTCCGCCTGACTTGTTTTTCCCGCTGCGCGAGTCAGAAACTACGGAGACAAACAAGGGGCAATTATATTAAACTGGTGAAGAGAAGGACTGCAGCACACAGGATTACCTTACACCATTAAAAGTAACACAATTGTATCTCAATTAGAGATAAAATACATAAAACAGAAAAGTTACTTGTTACAACTATACAGAGTTGAGAAGGTGTTGGATGGTTATAAACGTAGATTTAGTAAATACGTTTCATATGAGTTATTGTCATAAATTAAAATCAATAAAAGCGCACATATTTATTTTCATGTAGCTTTCAGAAACACAGCAACAAGATAGTATGATGCAATTTTGGGAGTATTGGTGGGAAAGGTGACCTATCATATCCTCTTCATCACTACCATCAGGGCAGCGGTACAAAGATCTGTTAAACAAATCTAAGTGATGTTAAATGGTGTGAAATGGGTGTCACTTGTGTTTGTATTTGATTTTTGGTGACGTTACTGGCAATGTCTTTAATGGCCAACACTTGATGTCTTTTAAATGTGCTATATAAATAAAGGTGACTTGACTAGACTTAATGTCTCTAATTGTGATGTCTTTACTGTTGTAGTTATATTTGTCACCACAAGGCATGAATGGAATTTACAAAAAGGACAAATAAATATAAATATGAATGATTTTTTAATTATGAGCCAAAGGCCCTTCATTTGTTTCTGATAATTAACATTGAACAGAGTCTCAAATCAGCAGAAAGAGAGCTCAGTTTTCTTATCGTAATAAAGTATCATGGAGAACCTTTTCAATGAGCTTGTAGTCTGGAGCAAACCTGTGTGTGTGTGTGTGTGTGTGTGTGTGTGTGTGTGTGTGTGTGTGTGCACACGTACCAGTGAAATCCAGGTAGTTGGTGGATTCTATAATAATCCCTACCAGGGGGAGGTAGAGAGCAGCCACCTTGGCCCTGACTTCAGGTTTGATACAGCGATGGTCAAGATCATGAGCACACAGCAGGCTGTAGATTGCATTGATGGACCTTCTCTGGACCTTTCCCCTGTGAACACGCATGCATACTGTTTCATTTGAATAATATCGCCAATGATTAGTACACAGCTTTCACATGTTTACAGAGGTCGATATTGATTTAATTGATATATTTTACAAAACAAATAAGACAGGAGCTTTTTAGTAAGAATGTAATTAGTCAAGTAAGAAAGCAGGCAGTTTTGAGTAACGTGCAAGTAGCTGTACTTCCATACCCCTCTGACTCCATGTCTAGCGCTGCACTGAGCTCTGTCAGTAACAGACCCGTGAGGTAGTGTTGCTGCTTGAATTCAGGAGAAAGTTCAAACAGAGCCAAGATCCTCTGCTGCTCCTGGAAACTGCATGAGCCAGAACTCTGAAAACATAGATAAAATGAAGGAGTGGCAACAAGATTAGCGTAAAAATGTTTCTTAATGGAAAATAAAGCACTTTTTCAACAGAATTTTTCACTAAAAGAAAACTAACAAACAAAACAAAACTTAATCTTATCTCATCTAGTCAGTTAAATTACTCCCAAAACTCCCGTTCTGTGTTTGTATTTTTCCCAGTTATCTTCTCCTAGATGGCCAATCCTTACTTTCCTTAACATTTTTGCAGCCACATTAATATTCCTGTATAAATAAATTCAACTTGGTAAAGCGGTAACCCGAGTGTCCAAATAATTCATGTAAAATTTGCACTGGCGAGTGGGCGAACCTGTGAGGAGATGGATGGACACGGTGAGGCGGGTGCGGAGGCAGGGCTGCTGAAGAAGAGGCTCAGGTTGAGATAGTGCTCATGACTGCACAGGATTCGCAGGAACTCTAGACGCATGCTGATCAGCGTCGGCATTGAAACACTCTTAGCCGACATCTAAAAGTGAAAGGGAGCATGAAAGTTTATTTTTCCAGAATCAGCATCTGGAGGGATATAATTATTAACATTAATCTGTTATTTTACCTGATTGCAATAGTTTTTCACTAGGTGGAATACAAATCCTCTGTCCATGAGCGACATCAGGTCATAAAGGAAAAAAGCCAGGCTGATGTTGACTTTCTCTGCTTGCTCTACCTCCTAAAACAACAGTCAACAAACAGCAATCAGGAAGCTGCACCAGATGGATCTTACTGAGTATCTAGCTGTGTAAGCTGTGCTCTCGATTCCACAGAGGCAAATATAATTAGCACTCCCAACTTCCTGTTGTTTGGAGGACATCGACAACATGTACAGTCAGGTTGAAATTGCCTCTCTCAACACAACCCAGGAGGACAGAAGGTACACGAATGCGCTCGGCTGCAGAGTTTGCAGATCGAAGTCAAATTGATTAGGCTCAGAAGCGCACGATTTATTTTCGTCGTCATCATTACTAATGTTTCTTACCTTTTGTTGTTTGACCAGGATGGTCCCAATCTCAGCTGTAACCACAGAGACAATTGTGGTGATGTCATCTTTAAATCGGTCAGAGAAGCGACTTCTGCGAGGAATATTGTACTTGTCCAGCTGGGACACATGCTGAGCCATGCTTTTCACCTGTTTAAACCATAACACACCCATTGATAATTGTTAAGAAAAGGTGAAAAACGCAATCTTTGATTTTTCTTTTTGTTAAAAAGGTGGCCTGATAGTTAAAGAGGGCAGTGTTTGATTATTTTATCATCAGCTTCTATTTTCAAATCAACAAGCCTATCAAGCCACGCAAAAATCCCTAATTTAATTAAAGTAGGCAATGAGGTTGAGGGCAGAAGCATAAATAAGCAAGACGAATTGAGTGAATGAGCATGAATGTCAGTGATGACACAGCTGAATTGCAAAACAGAAAATAAATTGTCAAGTGTTTTTTGTAATTTATTGCCTCGGGCGCTTTCGAACACCCTCTTAATATTCATACAATACTACCACTATCATTTATCTTTGAAGGTGTTTGGCCATGAGGTCACATTTGCTTGATATGACTCATTTTTATAACTCAGTCTATTTATCATTAACATCTGTGGATGCCTTCCCTCTTGCAGAGAGGCATAAAAATAAACACTGACCAGCAGCTCAAAGAAGAACCAAGCGTATTTGTAGGCATTTTCTCTGCAGACCCCGGTGCTGACAACCATTTGCAGTGCCAGCTCCTCATGAAATTGCTGCAAGAGAAAAAATACAAATGCTTTAATTCACGAGAACCCGTCTTACCCTGATAGCAGGTAGAGAGCATAAACAGCTCCAATATCAGTGTCACTAGTGTCACACTGCCACCTTGTGGTCATAAGGGTGAACTGGAGGATGAAAGTATTTGTTTAGCTGTGTTACAGGATGTTTGAGATAGAAGTAATGTTGAAATAGAACACAAAAAGCAAACACAGCTTTTATGGTATCGTTCCATGTACTGCTACAGAATAATTTTTCAGTCACTGCAGTGTCTCTAACGTATAATAGAGATGACTAACCAGAATTTCTACTTCAAAAACTAAAATAACAAGGCTTTTCATTTATTCTTAATTGAAAGCAATTCAGTTAGACATTAAAACCCATATATGTTTTAGCCTTTATTTACAGCTACATACAATGTTTTTAAAAAGACATTATGTGTTGCCTTGCCCTTGTGTACTGTAACTGTCTTGATTGGAGACTTTAAGTAAGGCTCTAACAATGAATAGCAGTGAAACAAGCCTGCACTGATAAATTCTTCTGTACACAATAAGATTTCACCTTTGATGAAAACAACAGATATCCATCAGTTTAGATAAAGTCAATGTTGATACAAATCATTAAAAGGAAATATGTTACCCAGTTCATACTCATTCCTTGCCGTTTTCTGTATCATTATTTTCCGTCTCTAATTCTTTTATAAAAATGTAATTGCATTGCTACATAATAAAACGGGTCCAAAAAAAGTGAAAGAAAGTAAGAACTTTGAACCTTTCTGTTGGATGGCCTGGTGTTTCCTGATGGGTTCTGATGGTTGTTTACGTCTACGTAGGTGGACATGCGGCTGCCTGGGTTGTTGTGGCCCTGGAGACAGTAACACACAAGTTCCATCACATTGGATGTGATGGATGCATTCATTAGAGTGGGTGTCTAGTGGCCTATTACAATAGCTAATGTACTGTGGGGATGAAGAGCAAATGGCTATTTTGTGTGTATGAAGATGCATGCTGGCATATTTACATACTGTACCCGTACTTTGTGTGTGTGTGTGCTCAATTAGGCAAATTCATACAGTACATTAGCCTAGTGCAACATGGACTTAGTAAAACCTTAAAGAGTATGTTAAAATAAAAAAAGTGGACACAAGCTAAACTAACTTTTCTGTATTTTGCACCAGATCCAGGTTAAGACATGAGAAATCTCAGCTGATGAAGCTGGTCAGTACCTTGGCAGAGAGAATATTTTTGACCTCGTCATCTTCAGCGGAGTTATGCGGTCCTGGGATATCAGGGTTGCTGCTGCTTCTGATCCTGGACTGGAGAAGCATGCTGCCAACGGTGGCAGCCGTGGCCCGACCCATAGTGCTGTATCGGCTCTCTGCTGAAGGTACTGCGCCACCTGTACCTGATCACATGTTCATAGATACAAAAGGAAAAAAGAAACAAAGAAAATTCTTAATACTTGAAACACTCAGAGCAAATATGTTCACAGGAACGACAAAACAAAAGAAATGCATCCTTTTAAATGATGAAGCACCTGGATTCTGCATGTCTCGAGGGGGATCGGGCAGGCGAAACACCCAGTACAGGTAGGTTGCCAAGAGGCTGTTCCTACCCAGCTGGTCCCTGATCAGTTCCTGGCTGTTATGAAGGCTGTTGATGATGGACACCACTGACTCAAAGGCTATCTGTGCCAGATTGGCTGCAGAAAGGAAGCATGGATTAAAAAAAAAAACCAAGTAATTAAATGAGTACAGTGAATGAAAAATAAATCTGATTATTTACCTAATTTAGCTTCAAATCTGATGATTTATGGGATTTTTTTTTTCTTTTGCAGTGTTGGTTAAATAAAAGTACAAATATAAAGTGGTAATCTGTTTTCTGGGGATATATCTTTCACAGTTTTTTCATGGTAGCTCAATAACTAAATTGAGAATATGTTGGGGGAAAAAAATCAACTGGAAAGACATTTTTAAATGTAGCACCACAATCACTGCTATACATCCATTATATACATGATACAATACAGAGTCCACTCACCGGTCTGGCCAGCAATGACCATGGGCTGCATGATGAGAGTGAAGAGTTTATCTAGCACTCGGTGGAGGGAGAGGACCAGAGCCTCTAGACTGGACGAGGACAGGGCTATGATGCTGAGCTTCAGCTCATGCTCCAGCTTGTTCTCTGGAATCTTCTCCTCCCTGATCCGCACAGGGAATGTTACTCCACCTTCCAGTGCATGGCAGAGGGTGAAGAAACGCTCCAGGTGGTTGTCCTGGTAGGGAGAAGGCAGGGTTTGTTAGAACGAGAAGCAGGGAGAGCAAAAGCAACAGAGGAGAGGAGACGGAGAAGGAAACAAATGTACTGCGACAGAGTCGGGACATGCTTCAGGGCGAATGCAACAACAACATGGACACTTGTGGTATGCATGTGTGTACTGATGTATACAGACAGACAGGGTGAGCCAAAAAGACATTCACTGTGTTGCTGTGTTGGTCTGGAGGCATCCAGCCTTCACTCACCTGTGTGTGCACGGATGACACGGCCTGGATTTCAAGGTTGAAAAGTCCCTTGTGACCCTCCATCCACTTCACTGGAGGGACCTGAAGAGGAAGTTTCTACAAGACACAGGAAATATAAATATGACTTTTGTGCCTGTGTTTGCTACTCTACTTACATAATAATAATAAATAATAATAAAAAATAGTTTTAATCTTTTAACAGGAGGATGTTTATACCTCAGGTGTGTGTAGAGAGTAGTTGACAGGGAGACGCTCCAAGATGATGGGCAGACAGTACTGACCAGTCTGCAGTCGATCAATATTCAATATGGGCAGCCACTGCATCAGAGGAAAAAAGACAAATTCAGCATGTCAGCCGAGCTTCAACGATTTAAAAACGCAGCAGTCAGACACACAAATGTCACAACATATTAATAGTAAAATGTCTGGCAACACTTTCCTTTGACAATGATGACAGCGATTTGCCAGCTGAAACACTAAACAGTCTTTTTCTTTGTTCTTAAGATTTGTGATGTGTAAAAGCTTACAGAGTATCCAATGAGCGTCTCACAGCTGCCGCTCTGGTTCTGTTTCTGCTGACAGCTGATGTGGAAGAACGTGAACAGCAAGTGATGCCTCTCCGTCAGACGTGCTGGAAGAGCAATCTTCACTTCCTCATAGAAGTCTGGAGACCTTACAGATGGGGAAATACGGAGTAACAAGAGGAGGCAACGGGAAGGAAACGAGAAAAACAAAAAGATAAATGAAGTCAAGGTACTCGGATTGTTCAAAATAGATAAAAAGACGCTAACACAGTCCAGTGTAACAAAACACAATGTGTCCTTACTTGTTATGGTAGGTAACAGGGGTATAGACTTCACTTAAAAATTCAGGGCCACTCGATTTCCCAAAAATGACCTGAATATAGAGACAGAAGAAGAAAAGAATAAAAAGGTATTTTTAATTTAACATGATAAATTTGAATCCTATGTGTAGACTGTGCTTGACTTGAATGTTCATCTGAACTACTGACCCAAACTGTCAGAGCTTGGGTCAGTAAATAGACAGTGACCAATATATCAGCCGATATTCGCCATCTGCTGAAATGGCAATATCGGCATTTATACAGGCTGACAGCAGTCAGACTGTACAATACCCCACACAGGATAAATACTGTTTAAAAACACATGTATATATTATTGTTACTCCTGCTGCACATTATGTACAAATAAAAATAAAAATCTTGGCATATTTAACTGTATATTGTAACCATCTGTGCAGAGTTTTAGCTTTTTTCTTGTACAATATTTATTTATCTATTTTTTTCTACTTTAAAAAACTAATAAATCTCTAATTCAACCTTTCTTCCTGTCCCTTGTGCTGCTGGAACAAGTGAATTTCCCCAGTGTGGGATTAAATAAAGTCTGTCTTATGACTATTGAGGTTGCATAGTTTATCCACCAGAGGGCATTTTGCAACTTCCCTGTTGACAAGCAGCTGGGAAATAATTTGTGAGAATAAAACAATTATTAAACTGCACTTTCATATTTTATTTGATTTTTAAAATCACCAAATATCAGTAAAAGTTAAGTTAAATCAGTTTTAGTGTAAAAATGAGTGACAGGTAATGAACAACAGCACGCACACACATAGCCGAGCCAGGATCCTCTCCACTCATAAACTGGATTTTGATGGTAATATTTCTTGCCGATGTCAACCTGTTGACAAAGTTGAGCCTCTGGGGGTAGACATAGAGCAGATTCCTGCACATGCAAAGGGAGAGAAACTGTGTCAGGAACACTGTTGGCTTAGAAAAAACAGTCAAATAAATAAATTATGCTACACTTTATGTAAACCAAAGCAGTTTGATTATTTCTCACTAGATGGCACTGTCTGTACAACAGCTGCAGGGCTGATGGACAGTGATGTCAGAGAAATGTAAAGCCAACCAGTAATTATCTGTGTTCTTTTGTGGGTTTAATTCAACATTGTAATCTGTTGTGAAACCTGAAATACAGGAAAACACCAAAGATTCCACTGAACACTTGTTTAGAGAACACCAGCATGCAATTACCGAGACTTGTTCATGCATGGTTTTTTTTTTTTAGATTGGAGTACTGAGAAGAATTAAATCCCCATTCTTGACTCTGTACTGTTAACTGACTGATGGTAATTTAGCAGGTGGCCTGGATGGAAATGCCTAAAAATATAAACTACACTAAAAAGGAGAACAATTTCTAATGTCAGCTCTTGAGTGATCTTGTTGAGCGAGAGTTCATGTTGCCTCTGGCCCTTTGTTCGAAATGTGCTGCCTGTTTTAACAAAGAAACCCGTTTATATTCTTAGCAAGAATAACTTGTTGTTGGGCTTGTTTGCTTTTCATCCCTTGAAGGTGCAAGGCTTGCATAAGTAGTTTCCTTTTCTCTAAGAAAGCTAAAGTCACAAAAAACATTCAGGACACAGAAACGCAAAGAATAAAAAATCCCATAATCTCACATTTAAATGTTTAAGGAGCATGAGTTTATTTGCCAACATAGTGCATACTCCAGCCCACCTGTAGATGTTGTGAGGAACATAAACCTCACTGGAGGGGAACTCCAGCACCTCCTTAATGAGACGAGTGCTTTTCTCAGCCACAGGTTTAAGAGGGATAAGCTCAGTTGACAAACATGATGTTGGTGTATCGTTGACTGGAGACATGTCCAATTTTATGGTACCTAGAAGATGCAAAGGTCAAAGGTCAGTAACCTGCATATGCAATATCCAGAATAAAGCCTATGATATCATTTAATAATATATAAACTGGCACACTGCTTTTTTGTCAAGAGCTGGATGAGAAGTACCACTGGTTTCGGTGTCCTCTTCAGGAAGCAACCGCAAAGCTTAGTAACAAAATATACCGACTTGAAATTTAAAGCATGCTATGAACACACATTTTAGCTCTTTTAAAAAATTATTTGTAAAGTGTGACATCACTGTGCTGTGTTTTTGCAATTTCCTGTACCCAAACGCTCTATATGGATGAAAGTATCAGGCTACAGGTGCTGGTTTAACTGAGTTAAACAGGTGACCTATGTGATTTAAAACTATTGCAGAGGTCCAGGTCTCTCTCTATCCATCTTTCCACCGACAAATTTTATCAATTTTCTCTGCAGCAAAAAAGAAAAAGAAAACATTAACAATAAAAATATACTCATGTAATGAGTGATAACCTGGTATTGTCTTGATTCTCTTCTGTGGTTTCTTCATCTCAGTCAGGGACTTGAGCAAATCCTCATCGCTTAGACGATCTCCTTCCTAAAAAACACAGTGATTTTATTTATTTATTTATTTATTTATTTTAAATGAAAAACCCAGATGACAAGGACCAAATGAACCATTAGAGCAATAAAAAATATACAAACATTGGAATATGCATGTAATTTTTCACAGTAATAGCCCTACAGGTTTGAATAATAGAATCTGATGAAACACATAGGATTTTTATCAAAGTCCAAGATGTAAACACAAGCATGTCTGTCTGGGAAACTTTATCTTTATCTGGTATCTCACTGCATTTCAAGCATTTTCACAGATTTATCCATTTCTTTGCTTGGGCAGCAGACAAACCTGTTTGATGATGGTGGAGATAGTGATGGTGGCAGGCTTGAAGCCAGAAACGTTGCAAAACGGTTCATCGATGGTACTGTAACGTTCAGAGTTCCTCCTAGGGAGTCCTCTCCGGTCAATGCTGCTGGATTTTCCTGAGGGAAAAAAAATGTCAAGTGTGATACTAAGCTTCAAGGACTCTTAGGAAATGCAGTCAAATACAAAGTGATCAGAAGGTAAGATGACGCTAGCACACACCTCCTTTTGTGTTCTCAGAGTCTGTGATGTCACGCTCCAATGTAGCAGAGCTGATCACTTCCATTATATTAACAGTTGCCCAGGCAAATGGCATGCGATAGCGACCCAGCCTCTGGCAGAAACTATCCGCCTGGTTCCGCAGCTTCTCAATTTTGTCCTTGTTCTGACCATAAAGACATAAATACATAAATAAATACATAAATAAATAAATAAATAAATAAATAAAGTTAGCCATTTTGAAAAACATCAGCTCCAGAATCGTTTTACATACCCAGCAAGTATTAATAAGAGGCTAAAAGGTAAACCGGAGAGCATTTTTTTGTAAATAATTTGACTGTTTGCTCTGCATTCATTACCTTTCCAGAGTCACATTCCCTCAGTGTCACGTAGGGGTCGACACAGTCACTGATCTCTCCCTGCTGAAGGACCTTTTCAATCTGAAACACGGAAACATTAATTATATCAAGGCCACAGCAACAGTTTACGATGAACTGCACAAACTCTATATTACTGCTGACTCTTCTTCAAAACTCCAATGACTCTAACGACACTGCAGAGTCCAATTCATAACTGATAGTGTCCCATTGTGTGTTTTTCTATCCAGGTATGCCTTTACTGCTTTGGTAGTGTGTTTGGTATCTGTGTTGTACTGAAAAATAAAGCCACTGCTAATCAGATGCTTTTTAGATGGTACTACATGATAGATCAAAATCTCCATGTTCAAAATTCCCCACATCACTTGCTGAAATGCAGCTAAACTATAACAGAGCCTCCACTGTGTTTTATTAATGCCTTTAAGATACTATTCATCCGCTGCATAGTATATTTGCTTTTTTTTAGGCCTACCAATAGATTTTCTCATTACCTTGATGACCAGATATATATCTGTGGAAGGGTAGGTGATAGAGAAGATGGCAGATTTGGCTGTCGAGGACGGATCAATGTGGTCAGTGTGATTTTTCAAGAAGTTCTTAAACTGTTCAGAGTTCAGGTCACAGTAGAAATTCTCAGATATCTGCAGGGAAACAGATGAAACATTTTACTTTGGAAAACAGAAAATTGTCTTCTTACCAAAATTAAATCCAGGATTACATTTGTTTTGGTAATCAGGGCATAACAAACTGGAAGGTTTCTGATGAGAGACTGAAAGAATACATTAATCTAGGTGATTAGTTTGATGTAAACCAAATGTTCATCTGTTCAGCCCGCTTTGCTGTTTCTCTTCTCACCTCTATAATGACCTCTGTGTAGGAACACAGATGTGGGCCGGCCTGTTATCTGTCATGTGATCCTATTCACTGGAAAGCCAATAACTACTCTACCTCATTCTGCTTATCCCACAGGGCTTCCACTACACTGACCACACCAAGAAGCCTCTAGAAAGCCAAACTTGGCTGATAACTAAAATCCTCAAAGCAGCAACTTTATTCAAGATAAGCACAAGAAAATTTTCAATGATGATGACTTCTGGCATACTTCCATGCTTGTGTAACATGCCAAAAGGACAAAACTCGGCACAGATTCTGAGACGGAAACGACCCAGTTAACTTAAGAAAAAGAAAAAGAGCCACACTCTCCCTGTTACTGAAAAATGACTTCTTGGAATCAGAGAAATAATAATCTTGGTAATCAAAGCCAGCTGACTAAAATATCCTCTGTTCATAAAGAAAAAGGACGAGTGTTAAATGAGTCAACATTTTCAGTAAATCCTAATAGCATTCATTTGAAAACTTCAAATTTTGATGTAATGAGACACAAGGAATGTAAAAACCTCTTCAACATGATATTTTTAACCCCCAAACACCATGTCCGTGACTGACTGACACACACAAACACTAGCACACACTGTTTCAGGACAGATGATTAACATTTTCTGATGGAGAGCACTTGCAAACACCCTGTGTAGCCAATTCAGCAGCTGGACGCTACAATGACTCCTTTTGCAGCTTCATTCAAACACAGATCTGAGTGGCAAATGTTCAGGCAGACATCTGACAGCCGCTTCCTTTACAAATATTAGACAATATAGCTCCATAAATCCATTAGACTGTTCTTTCAAGGCCTCTGCTTTTCTGAAGTCTTGCCAACTGTGGTTTCATTATTGCGTCCTCCCACTTGGCTCCAGTCAGTCGAGTAAAATGTGGCTTTCCTTGTGTTGCAAAGTAACACCAGGAAAACAAACGAAGAAAAAAATAACTAATGGATATTCCTTTTTGCTAAAAGAACATAATGTTTTGTTTTTTGCCTACTCATAAACCTCTGCTTACATTCATGAATATTGCATCATAAGTAGGCCACTTGTTAGGTCAAATCCCGTGTCTGCACCTTGGCTTATTGACCAGAGAGACTTTGATTTATACGAACATCTGCACAGATGTGAAACAACGGAAATGACGTGAACAAAACCAAACAAAACCTCCGTGAGGCAACGAGGGATGCGGGAAAACGAAGAACAGCAAGTAAGAAAACAGAAGATAAGGCTCTCATAAAGAAAACAACTTGCACTGAGCACTGCAGAAGAAAGAGAAAAACAAACAAGATAAAGTAAAAGTGAACAGTTCAGAGATTAAAAAAAAAAAGAGGCCTTAACAACAACTGACAAAACAAGCTTGACAGTTTCTCCTTCGTTTACAGACGCACTTTGTGTTTACAGTTCAAATTCATGTTTACAGACACAGTTCATTAACTAGTATCTAGTCAGTGTAATAAGCTGGAAATTATACTAACCTCTGCAACGATACACTTCAGCTCAGCACATAATAAAAATCAGTCACCTTTAACAAAATGCATGACACTGTCACACTTCAGCGCTGCTCTTAAAGTCTTCCAACAGAACCAAAAACAACCCTTGTTTATGTCATATTAGTATGTTTCATTGCAAGAAATATTTCACTGATTCTGACCCAAGACCAGGTTAGATATGGCCCAGTTTTGAAAATTGTGATGTATTAAATTGTCCTATCTCACCCAACAGAGTATCTTAGAGCCATTAGTCCTCCAGGCAAGCCAGAGTAAATCAGGGCAGCACAGATGAGAGGGCAAACCCGGTGGCTAAAACCTCGTCTTATGTGAGAGATCCACGAGCACTTAATCCTTCCAACCCCTACTATTATCCAGCTGTGTAAATCCCCAGAAAACAAACAAACAGCCACAGCTCAGAAATGCTTTACTGCAAAAATAATGTGCAGTATTAGTAGATACAAGGCCAAACATGACGACCCCCGAGGCTATAAATTTCTGAGGATGATGAGACATAAAACCTTATAGATTACAGTGATCCCTTACTACACAGCAGAGCTGACTTTCCAAAGCCACTACAAGACTGCGCCAGATCAACAAGATGCAAATAACATGCAAAAGCTACCTTTAAAACTGTGATTTTTATTAAGTATACAATACTTGTAACTACTGGTTTTTGATATTCAGTCTTGTCCAGCTTGTAACCCATTATAAAATACACAGCAAGTATCCAAACCATGTGACTATCTATCAGTGTTGAGGATTGATATGTGACCAGTAATGTTTTATTAAACATTAGCAGGATTGTTATGGTGGTTGTTTGTCGTGTGATATCAAACAGTCCCCAGCAGTGTGCTCAGTTACATTAACAGTCTCTAATTTTATGGTAGTTTCTTTGTTAATGGAAAGAGACAGAATATCAACCAAAAACCCAGAAAAAAAACCCCCACATTACATAAAAGTATAATACGTATCAACTTATATTATCAATTATTAATTGAATAGCATGAGTAGCTATTGAGCATTGAGTGAAACAAGTATTTGATGCCCAAGCAAAACATGACTTATTTTACAGTAAGCTGTAAGATATTTCTTAAAGTAGGTCACCAGGTGTGCACTCAGGAGTGATACTGGACCACTCCTCTTACAGTTTCCTGGTTTTCTCCAAACACAGCGGTTTGAGCTGATGCCAAAGAACTCTAGCACAGTTCAGAAGGCCTATACATGTACGAGCCTTCATGAGCAGAGGGACCTTGCAAGTGCTACAAGATTTCAATAGATTACGCTGTAGTTTGTTATCTGTGGTGTTCATGGTGCCTTCAGACCATTAACACGCAAGGAGCGTGTTTTGGCAGTTTTGGCAGATCCACCATCTTTCTCATCATTACCCTGTGAGAAAAGATTTATCTTTCTTCCCTTTCCGAATTGTCGCACCACGAGTTGTCACCTTCTCACCAAGCTTCTTGTTGACAGCCTCATAGTCCATTCCAGCTTTGTGAAGGTCTACAGTCTTGTCCTTGACATCCTTTGACATTTCTTTGGTCTTGCCCAATCGTGATGGAGAGGTTGGAATGGAAGAAGCTCATTTTGTGGACAGGTGTGCTTTATACACATAACAAGCAATAGATGTAATGGAGTGGTTGACTGTGGGAGCAGAATTCTGTCAATGTGGGGTTTTTGGGGGGATTTTTGGTTGATATTCAGTTTCTCTCCGCTAAAATGAAACTATCATAAAAATGAGAGACTATTAATTTCTTTTAAAGTGACCAAACTTACATATTCAGTCAGGGATAAAATAATTATTTCTCCCAGCTGTGTGAGAAAATGCTAAAATACACAGCAAGTATGCAAACAAGCAGAGAGTCCCAAGACTGAGGAAAGTGTTTTTTACTGTTATTCTTTGTTGCTTATCACACACACACACACACACACACACACACACACACACACACACACACACACACAC